GTGGTGGGTGTAACGAGTCAAATGCCTTTGACATGTCAGTTGAAAGTATGCTCATGTTGGAAATGCATGCTTTCGACTGGAACTCCAGTGAATATCAAGTTGGAATGCGCAAAACGGCTGTGAATAGCAGAATAACTGTTATTTTCCATGGGTTAAACGAACAGTTATAAACTGTAAAACGCCGAAAAATGCGTTTTATCGAATTTGCTCGAATTCACCATTGGTAAGAAATATTGGAAATGCATGCTTTCGACTGGAAAACTCTTGTGAACATTTCGTTAATCGTGCGAAAAATGGTTCTGAACAGAAGAAAACATGACATTTTCTATGCGTTATAAGAAAAGCAAACATGAAATCATTGCATTTTCCTGCATTTACACACATTAACCTTCCAGGAAAATGCGTGTTTTCAGCTGCTAACTCCGGTGAATTCGTTGTTGTACACTGGGAAAATGCCAATGAACAAAAGGAAAACAAGCTGTTTGCAGTGCGTTAACCGAAAGGTTAATGCCAGAAAATGATTTTTTGACCTGCATTTACTGCGAAGGAAAACTACCGTATAATGGAACGAATATTGGGATTCACCGGTGCGAAAACGCACAGAAAACATTGGATTTTCCGTACGCAGTGCCGCGTACGCAATGCCGCGTTTTCCATGAATTCAATCTTCGTATTCTGTACGGTGAACGCTACTTTTTTGCCGTGGTTGTTACACCGACATATTCACTAGCTCGGCCAAATGTAGATGTACTCCACTGTGCCTGAAATGCGTATATAGTCATTCGGCTGGCTGACCACAATACGAGTGTGTAACATCGTCTCTTTAAAGTAAAAAAAGGTCACTAGGTAAGAAATTAAGAAACGTGCAGGACGAATTTCAATGAATTTCAAAGGTGAATAATTACTTAGATAAGAAACCATTTCTATGATCACTTTGTCTTTGATTTATTCCCTATTCAGGACAACTCTTGATCGCCCACCTTGAAAATCAATGAACTTGTTTGCGTAATTGATCCAAATTAGGAAGAATCCACACGATGTTACAAAATCGACTAAAAATGTAGCGCTTGGCTTTCATTTCATTTCATTTTCATTTCATCAGCCTAAAAAATACATATCACATACGCTAGAATATTTAAAACTCAAACTATATACTATAACACTAAAAGCTGTTTTCCGTGAGTGCCGTGCGTTAGACTTAAAGAATGTCATTGATCTTACGTTTAAATACCCCCAGAGACTCTGTGTTCCTTATATCGCATGGTAGACTGTTCCATAATGTGGCGCCATTGTAGCTAAAGCTTTTTCGGTAATAATTAGTGCGCGGTAAGGAAACTGGCTCCAAGAACTACCTCTGTGAAATACAGAACATATCATTACTTTTTTTTTTATCATTGTTTCTCTACTAACAATGTTCGTGTTCCCTACGAAACAATCATTTCAAGGATCAAATCAATTTTAAAGCTCGCTGCTAATCAAAATGAACAACACTTAAACTGACTTCGACAATGGACTCCGCTTTTACAGAGCCTCGTCTAACTTGAGCAGGGCTGGCTGAATTCGTGTAAGTTGGAAAACACAAGAATGTACAGTCAGAGGGATTTGAGACATATTCCTAATTTTCATCAAACAAGAGGCTATACGGAGCTTATATTCTGGCTGAATTTGCAGTTTAGATGGAACGAATGGAAGGTCTCGCGGTGTTCAGCAAAATCGCTGTTGCGTGCTTTTCATTGTTTTCATAACATGGATCGAGAGTTATGGAGATTAAGACTTTGGAAAGAGTTAATGCCATAACAAATTGGAAATACTTGCTAGATAAAATGCGGGGACTAACGTAAGTACCGCGGCAAAATGAGTCAACAGAAAAGGAATAAATCACTTTGTGACTTAGCTTGAGTCACGGAGAAATCCAGAATGATAGTAACCAGGGCGTTTTACAAAACCAGTACTAATTAGAATCCTCCGTTTATCAAATTTCCGTTTTGCAAAACTTATCAAATTTTAACGCTGTGATTCAAATCTTTCTCTGTTTCCCCGATTTTTCATTCACAAATCAGGTTTCGCCTCATAGTCGCTCAAAAAATATTTGCATGTGAACGCGATGATCTTTGTTTACCAGGTATTCTCCCGCTTACATCTGATAACAAACATCTGAAATTTTCTACCTCGGAACGATATACCACAAAAAGCATTTTATGGACCGCAAGTTTTTCGACTTATTGAGATTAAAGATATGTGGTAATGACTTTCACAATTTTTTTTTTGTTGTTGTTGTCAGAAAAATATGGTTTTTTTCGTCCGCTAAAGTAATCATCTCTAATGTTTATATAAGATAATTGAATTAATCAATCGAATTAAATCAATCAGCCAATAAACTTTAACTGTTCCCACTGTTTTTGCGTTTTATCCTTACGTTAACAATTGAAGCGATTCACCGTTTTAGGTTTGTGCTTGAAAATAGATATTTTAAAGTTTACTCGAAAGTTAAGTGTAAACAGTCACAAGGTTGGTTATCGTTTATGCGCGGCCCAGCACTTCAAGCCTGGATACACTCGATGCCAAAACACAACCTCATTCTCAGGCTATGTCCACCATTTTGCTTTACTCCAATTAAAATCTGCCACGTGCACCTATCTTGCATTTTCCTGCGGTGGAAAAACCAGACCGAATTTCTGACTCATCATCATCATCCATACGAATACAAAAAGGTTTTAAGATTTCGTTTATTTACTACACAACATTTATCTCAACGTTTTCTCAAAACATTCACAATTGACCTTAAAATAAATCATTTAGAGTAAAGTCGATTTAACGTAATTATAATTAATTCCTCTAGAAAGTTTTTTTAAATCTAAAACTGACAGCATAATCAGATGTAGTTCACCGGTTTAAGCTTCAACTCCACCAAACAAATTTTGCGTTTTGTTTCCATCAAAAGACTCATCAAATAAACCACGTTGTCTGATAACTCGTAGATAACTCTATCAAACCCCCCGAGAACATTACAGAGTCTTGTAAGAAAATCTGGTTTATTATTTCATATAAACAATTGTTTCATGACACAAAAAAATCTTCCCAAAGAAAAAATTACCGGTTCCTCAAAGAGAATGCTCTAGGAAAAGTCTGCTGGTCTGACTTTCATTTCAGATGTTTTGGGGTCGTTGTTTTTAGCTTTAGGGTTTAATTTTGCCCAGTGAATTGTGCAATCACTTCCAGAATGAGGACAGATGCCGTTAAGATTTGAGTTAACAGTACAAACTACATCAATGTACATGTACCACCAGCCTCCCCCATATTTCCGTGCACAATCATGATCAGCTGGAAATCTATTCCACGTACTAAATAACGTGCCATTATGACCGGAGAGGGAATCTTCAACAGTAGCAGCTGCACAAAAAAGGAGAGGAACAAAAAGTAAACTTAAGGAGGCTCCATAGGGTTTTTGCTCAATGTTGGCGCGCGCGCCAGCGCATTGTTTTTCCATAAAATTTTTGTGTTTTCGCTTTTCTAGGTTACTAAAAGCTATCAAGAGGGCGCTGAGCAACGTTCGGACTATCGTTTGCTGTAGTAAATATTATCAAAATAATTTTCGCTATTAAGCTAAGGTTCCACGAAGAGAGGCGCTCGCCAGTAATAATTTGTCTTTGATTTTCTTCAGTTTGCTTAGGTGAATTTCCCAAAATTTTCACGATATGTGAAAATTGTCCTGTCGATCATTTAAAAGCCGAAAAAATAGGAGTTACAGAGGCAGTTTCAACGCTATTTGTAATTTTTTGTTTTCTTCCTCTATCTCAAATTTGGTCTTATCAATTTCTCTTATCAACAGGTACTGGAGAGGGCACAAATATGTTTAACGGCCTAGAAAATCTTAAGAAATTCCAACGAAAGAAACGCAACCAATCTTGCTCGAAAGATCCCCATTTTCTCAGAATAGAACTTCGCCAATGTCTATATCTGAGCGTGCGTAAACTTTCGAATCTGTTGCTTCATCTGTCACCTTTCTATGGAGCCTCCTTAAATATATTTTAGCTTCATATTTGACAATAATCCATAATTGTTAAGAGCCTTTCTCTGGCTTATTTTTGGCATCTACGTGTGTATAAAATTATAAGCTACTATTGCTTGTGGAGGTGATGTTTCAGAAAACACTTTTGCATTCCAAAGCATCAAAGTTACAGAGTCAAATCTGACTCCTATTTTTCTATACATC